AGAGAGATTATGGTCTCGAGGTGTCTTATTATGTTGTGGTGTTCCAAATTACGTGGATGGGAAGAGGGGGGGGGGGGCAGATGTGGTCGGCTTATGTCGTCGAATGAGGGTTAGCGTGGATAATGCCTTTCCTTTAGAGCTGAATGTTGTTTCCCAGTTGAGGTGGGACTTTTGAGTCGTAGCAGGCACGTCGTGGCTTGGGCGGGAAGGTTCCGATCGAGGAAAGAGAGATGGGGCGAGGGGGCGGGTCTGTGTGTGTGTGTGTGTGTGTGTGTATGTTTGTTCCCTTGAGTTCCAGTGGACCAGCCGGTCTGCTTGTGTGGATGTGGATATGGGTGTGAGTGAGAGAGCGCGTATGTGTGCATCTGTCGTATGGAGGGAAAAGAGAGGGAAAAGGCAAGTCAAGGGGAAAGAAAGGGAGAATGGGTGGGGGGGCTTTTGGTATTAGTGTGTGACAAGGAGTGAGACGAAGCTTGCGGACTCAGTCATCATCAGTCGGTCTAGGTACCTAGGTAGGTAGGTAATGATAATGTGGTCATTGACCAAACCCGGCGCGGAACTTTCACTTGGAGAACCTAGGCACTCGGCAGACCCCTAGAATGTCCTGAAGCCACGAAGACCAAGCGAAATCTACCTAGATAGTGTGTCCCAACCGATAACCTGGGACAATTGGAGTGGAGCCCTGGCTTTGACCATCGAGTGTGTTTGGGGGATAACTTATGAACAAGGTTGATGAAATGCATGTGTTTGGTTAGTGCGAGGCTGATGGACTGTTGTTCAACTGGGGGGGTAGAATGGGAAGGGGGGAGGGGGGGCCCGAGGAAGAGGACAGACAGCAGCGACAGGAACTCTCTGGGACTCTCTGGGTGAGGTGGGTTCAGCATGAGCACTTTTTTTCTTGTCAACGATGGAAGGAGGGTACGAGGGTGAGGCAGTTGCAGCCGACTGGGTTTGTCAGAGTTTGCAAGAACTTACTCTCATGGCAATGCAAGGCACATCAGGTAAGTAGAGTCGAGTCGAGACGAGAGCAATTAAAGTGTTCCGGAATTATAGCGGGGGCATGCCAGCCAGCCACACAGCCCACCACTCACCATCCATAGCGACCACTCAAGCGAGTCGTGGCTCACCTCTGCCCAACAGCAGACACATACACACACACACACACAAACGCAAACGCAAACGCGCACACATGGTACACATCATGCCCCAACACAACTCGACACCAAGTAGCGCATTACCGACCAATTGGTTCCGGTCGACGTTCCCCGACATGGCCCCAAGCCAGCCCAGGCCCTTTCTGGCTATATAGGCGGTCCCACCTTGGACCACCCACCACCACCACCACCAGCCCACCAAGAAAGATCCTCCAGTCTGTTATCGGTACTTTCGCCAGGCAGATAGGTAGTGGGTGCCTATGTTACACTGGCCGATATTTCGCCGCTGCAGCAGTGAACTCATCGCTTCTTGAGTTTGGAGGCCAGCAGTCTGCTGCGACCTGCTGACTCGATCCGGACATAACCTCGTCTGGCCTCACCATCCCCGGCCTGTTGAGAGCCACGTTGGAAACCGGCCTCGAGATTGGATGAATAGGACAATTGCCAACTGACGGTATGCCATGCTAAGACACAGACGACCACATCACTCAAGCTGGAGGGAAAAGCCAATGCACGCACAGTGCGTCAAGACTTCAGGTTCACATTGGCTCCTTCGGCGCAGATACCCGCAGATTCACCTGCGTGCGCATTCCCAGACAGCATGCTGGGCGCCCTGTAATCCCCCTTCCGAACGTGCTAGTCTCAGGGCTTGAGTGGTAGGGCGACTGACTAACTGGCGACTTTACCCCAGATCCCGACTCCAATACCCGACTCAACGTCGCAAACGCGCATGTCCTCTGGTTCCATGACTCGTCAATAAAAACAACATGAAAAGAAAATAAAGAGCTTTCTGAAGTAACTAGCAAGAACTGAAGAAGGCCAATGGCGCCAACACTAAATCAACCAACACGCGCATACCTTGCGAGTGTCCATAGCTCGCAAGCATCCCTCGGCCCAGAGCTGTCGGGTTATGAGGCCCGCCGGCATCATTGGTTCAATCTGCTAATCCAAACCTGCAGGCGAGGTCCAAGTCTGCCTTTGCTGCCAAAGTTACAGGTGCGAAAGACTCTAGCGCTACCTTTGACTGTTGGAGCACGCCAAGTTGGAGTGGGATCGACTATCGGACTTTTACGGCTGACATGTCCACACCTCCTTTTCGTCACACCAATCCTTGCCAATACCAGCCCTTGTCAGTGTTGATCAAAGTGCACACGCCAACCGTAATGGATCGCACATTTCTAGACTCCGCCTACTGACCATGGGGGGGACAGAGAGAGTGCCATGCCGAATCCGAGCCCGAGGGAGCACTGGTAAAATCCAGATAGAAGCATCCAATCTCCAACAAACCCAAAACACTTGCCGATGGCTGTGCGGCATACCCACCTCTGCCTCGTTTCCTGGAAAACCAAATCACGTGGGTTCGACAATGTTCAGTCTCCTCACAGGTCACTCCACCTCGGCTCTGTCGCCTGTACAACTCGAAACCAAAGATGCCTCTGGCACCCGCCCCCCCTACCGACCCAGAGCCTTGAAGTTTTGAACTAGCCCCACATTGAACTGGGCAGAACACTTGGCCAGAGAGA